TTTCAACTTTTTTAATACCGTTACCTACTGTTCACGGAGTAGGGGTAAACTGGACCTTCATTTTGGAAAAGCAGGAGTAAAAACACAAAGTGAAAGAAAATAGGGGTAAAATCACAATTGGGGTTCAAAATAGGGGCAACAACGCAATAGCCTCTTTTAAAATTTAATTTCAAACATCATTTTAACTAGTAAATAATTTCAAATGAAAAAGTGGTCAACTATAAAGTTGCATAACTTTTCGATATCTACAACTTTTGTTTTGGACGTTTCTCCATCCGAGTTCGTTTGAAAAATTCAAATTTTTAATTTGAGAAATCGAATGTAATTTTTGTTAGATAGATGATTTCAAATGAAAATATTTGGATATCCAAACGATCTTAAATTAAAAAAGTTTAAACTACAAAGTTGTAGATCTCGTCGAGTACTACAACTTTGATATAAAGTTCATCTTAATCTGACATCATATGAGAAACTTATGAAGTTTTCTTGCAGTATATCACTGTCAGTTCAAGCCACGAACCGACAGTGATAGTATCAGTGTCGGTTCTTAGCTAAAGCCGGTAGTGATGATCCAATATCACTGTCGGTTTTAGACTAAAACCGACAGTGATATGAACCGATAGTGAAGACCCGAATATCAGTGTCGGTTGATCCTATTACTGCCGGTTTTAGCCAAAAACCGGCAGTGATAGACTATCAATGTCGATTTCTTAAAATTCAGCAGTGATGAGGCCGGCAGTGATGTCCAATTATGTAGTAGTGTTCGCCATTCGAGCAATGGATTCTAGCTAAGACGGAGGAAATTGTATTGGAACCTGGCAGATATTGGGGTTTTCTGCTTGCACCGGGGAAGTCAGAGACTCAGCATGGCCAGTTAAACGAGCATATCAGGATCAAAAGAGATAGGTTTCCTTTCTTTGGGATTGCATTCAAATCAACCCTTTAGGCCTCCAAAACACTCTTGTGCTGGACCTGGTTAAACACCAACGGGCCTTCTGTCCATAGTTTTAACATTTCTTACACTGAATTTGTTGCGAACAAAGAGCGACAGTGTCCTATCCCATAGTAGTGAAGGCAAGGCGAGAAATCTGTTGGCGGCCTAGAAACTAAACTCGAGAAATTTGGCCTCTGAAGAGCACCTTTGAAATCTGACAGCTTTCCATCTGGAAACTCAGAAGGATGAATAATTGAATTTGCCCCTTTTGAACAAGAAAATTGCCGTAAATTCATACTTGAATTGATCCAATCAAAAACTGTTTTGACTGGGATCACAGAACCCATTGGAGAACACTGAGTAGATCCAAAAATTAGATTGTCGCAAGACTGCATAGCAGGTAACTGAACAAAAAAACTGACAAAACAAAATCACTGGAGGAGGCAGTTGTGGTTTGAATTTGACTGGAGGTGAGTTCTGAACAATCTGAGCAGGGGGGGAACGACAGCTTCTTTTCTGCTATTTTGGAGAGTACCCTGGTCCATTCCCTTTCCTGTTCTTCCTCCCAGAGTCATTTTTCATGTTGCCATTGTGCAAATCCATTGTTCCAGATATGAACGAAGCATCAAAGTGGCGGCCAATGAAACAATGAAGATTGTAAACATGAAAACCCACTTGCTTGTTGGCAACCGAGAAACGAAAATGGCGATCACTTAAGAAACGCACATGAAAAGAAGCCAATGATGATCCGCCCAAACAAGAAGCCAACACAAAAGCCGTAGAAGTTTCATCGAGATGAAAAGTATATCTCCTGACTAGGAGGAAGAAGGAACGACGTGACTAGGAGGAAGAAGGAAACATCTGGAAAAGCATCGGTATGATGAACCAAACATCCAAAAAGCTGAAGGATTTCCTTTCTGAACTTTTTTCCATGATCAAAATCCAGTTTTCCCTTCAATTCTGCTGGAAGATCCATCAACACCACACGCAAGGAATGATCAGAGAGGAAGATCCATCAACACCAAAATGCGGGAGGAGGCTGACACAACAACAAAAAAAAAGACAAGGGATTTTGGCTCTTTAATATTAGGTATAGAATTATCCATCCGTACCATTATAAAATAATGCAAAGTAACATCTAAGTTTGCATCTAATTATATATGTATACCATACAAAAGATAAAATAATAATTAATTTGTGTATAAATTATATCCACTCTGGATTTAAAAAAAGAAAATTTTTACAATGGTTGGAAAAAACATAGGCCATCTATTAGGCAAGATCGGACGGTGGAAAAAATAGAAGGTACACAACTGAAAGTACCTGGAGGTACCAAATAGGTACAGATAGTACCAAATTAGGTGGGGCTAGTACCAAAATACGTGGAACAAGATCTCTTTTTCATTTTTCTTTTTATTTTCGAATAAGGGTAAATTAGTCATCCTAGGTTACGGCCGCCATTCATCTCGTATGTCTGCACCTACGCCGCCTGGCTCCTCTGCCCTTTGCACACGTCGCCGATCCTCTTGTTCCAGGTGACTATAGGTGAGCACACATCATTGTTTAGGATTCTTAGGTGAAAAATTGGTCATACGTTTGCATTTTCTTTCTGCACAGTCTTTTGGGATTTACCATAACCAATCAACATCTTTGTGTAGACATTTGATGAAAAAAATTGGTTCATTTGTTAATCCAAACGTTATTTACTGCAGGGAGCATGGAGGCAAACGTCCTTTACCAACATGTTCAACTCGACATTGACTTGATGCAAGCACTTGAGGCCATGGATAGAAAGATCGCTCAAGAGCGAGAGGAGCGAGGAAGACCGGACCCTGCAGTAGGAACATGATGATATGGCCCTAACACACAAGATGCCCGAGTTCTGCTGTGCGGGGTCGATGGAAAAGTGCAACTGAGCAGCGGCGTCTAGGGCCTAGTGGCGCCGACGGCTGGGTCGGCAGCACCCTATCGAGACTTCATGGCGGCAGGCCAGCAGTGCTTATCGGCCGAGTGGAACATGTCACAGAGGGACTGAGAGGGTTATGTCTAGTTTTAGAAGGTCACAACCTCAATAACTAAAATACCCTCTATAATATATTTCTCAATTAATTAATTAGAAAATAGAAAAAGATAAAAGTACCTAGAGACCAAGGTACTTTTCCCACCATTGTAAAAGAGCTCTGTTTGAGAAACTAAATATCCCTAAAGTTGACATATATGATGCTAATATAGACAATTACGGAGAATAATTCAATTAAAATGTATTTCAAAATTACCACTTTTTTTTACCTTGGTATCAATATATAAAATTTCAAATTTCATATAGGTCAATAACACAATCTTACATGAAAATTACTTTCATAACTATGACTCTTACCACTATGTTATATTACTTGTGTATTTACTCGTATGTGGAATCCATTACCTGTGTATTTACTCCTACTTGCAATCCATCCATTCTATAATAACAGATTCATTTTTATTATTTGTATATGATCGTAGGTAGCGGCAAAAATGCTATACACAACTCCGTCCGAACCACCTATAGAGAATTTCCATGGATATTTGTGTAGTTGCTCTCCGTGTTTACCAGACGGTGAATCGATGATCACGGTAACCAAAACACACCGGTGTTTTGGTTTTAGCGGACAAGTTGGTACTTATAAATGGGACTCTGCTTAATTTATCGTTAGGTGCAGGCTGTTGCCTTGCGCCCGCTCAAAGGCCTGCTGCCAAGCCGTGGGCTGTCCTGAAGTTTTCTCTTGAGCTGAAATTTCGGGGGCCCAAGATGCGGCGTGTGTGTCCTTGTTCTAGTCTCGGAGAACAACAGAGGATCCAGAGATTCAAGAAGCGGAATTGTTCTGGATTCTCTTTTTCTGCCGCTTTTTTTCAGATAAAAACAGTAACAATTTCCAACATAGTACTGTGTTGTGTAGAACCGAGACGCAAAGTTGTGCATCATATTTTGGCTGTTTATGCTTGCCATAAAATTTTCGAATGTTCTAAATAAGGAAGCATGGACATTGTTTACAAAATGGATATGCCTCATGTAACTCAAGTCAAACTTTGAAGCGTATACACCTCATATCAATTTTGAACTTGTATACACATTAAATTTTGATACAACCTTACAATTACTGCATGTTAAGGAAATACGAGGTTCCAAACATTTTCGAAATGGTTTACTAATTTTTCGCAGTTTGAATGAATTTGTATATCATAAGTAAATACAGAATGGTCACAAACACAGCGTATATAACAAGCAACCTAGAAAAAAAACAGTATAACAAATTTATAACATTTTTCGTAGCACTATTTGAACATTAATGACGTAGCTTTATATTTTTCGCGAGAAACAAGAATTAAATAAAATCTTTGCGTCAAGGACAACCCGGGCAGTCGCTCAAAACTCTAGAGCACATCAACAATCAACTAGGTAGCCCATACAACAACAATAAAAGTATCCAAACATTACTCCCAGGGCTCTCTAGCTTCGGCATGGCCTTATTGTCATGAGCTTTCTCCTGGCACTTACAAAATACCGTCGCACCTAGAAATGAAGGGCTCCTTCGGTCCTTCCCAAGGTTTCCCGTACAAATTAACCGTAGAAATTTTGCATAGCTTCCAAAATATGTTCAACTAAAGATTTGGCTAGTTATGATTTTGGCTATTATTTGGTTGACTACCAAAACTTGTTAACATCTCTTATTTCTATGATAAATTTTTTGATTAACTTTGGCTTGCAAAATCGTTCGCGTGGCAAAATTTGGCTACAAACCAAACAGGCACTTAAAAGCTGAATCTTTTCAATGACATACCTCACACGGTCACGTCTGACAGGAATTCAGGACATGATCTCGTCTCGCAAACGCAAATCCTCTCCCAAATCGACATACAGCTACAGAAACGGAAAATCACGAAACAAATCCATCCCAAGAGACAAACAAAGGGACGCAAGAACACCAAAAGAATCCTCTAATCAGACGGCCGTAACCACCAGGCTCTGTTTGCTGCGCACAATCAGCAGAGCAGCTCCATCCTCTCTCTCTCTCTCTCTCCCCCCACGCTACTGCTGCTGCGGGTGGCTTCGCTGCGAGCTCGGCGTCGGGTCCACGGCAACGGCGGCGGGGGCTGCCCCTGCCCCGGCGTCGGCGCCCACGAGCTCCATCTGGTCCTCGAGGTACTTGTGCAGCAGCGCGGCGGCGGCGCGGCGGCCCTCGCCCTCCGCCTCCTCAGACCGCTGACTGGGGCAGCACCTCCTGCTCTTGGCCGTCACCGTCATCAGCAGCAGCCTGCGCCGCCGCCGGCGGAAGCGGGCGACGGCGACGGCGACGCAGAGCAGCGGGAGGCAGAGGAGCAGCAGCGGCAGCACGACGGGCAGCAGGCACAGCGCCAGGCACGACGACCGCCACGCCGGCGCCGCTCGGCGGGAGGCGGCCCCATGCATCTAGCACGACGAGGACGGCTGGTGGGGGCGAGCCGGCGGGGGTGCTGCCATGGACAGGAGGACAGCGTCGGACTCGAGCGGGGGTGGTGGTTGCCGTGCGGACAAGCAAGCAGAGTCTCTTTCTCCGACCCTTTAATAAGAAAGCTCATTTTTTTAATGTTTGTTTGGGATTTTCTTACTTTGATGATGAGATGGAATGGAAAGCGTTTCTATCCTCTTGTTTTATGAATCTCCCCCCTGATATTTTGCTCAATTACTGTACAGGTCGCTTTCTAATGTTGACCATTTTATTATTAAATATTTTTTTTGCCAGAAGACTTGTAATGAGATACTAGAGCTCACCATTTTATTACACCCACTGGATCCATTTCATTTAAAAAAAAAACAAAAGAAACTAACATAAACTCATTGGAGTAGAGCACACCAATTAAGACGCTGAGATCATGGTTATGGAAATTACTAACACGGATTGCCAAAAAATGAGAAGGTCTCTCTGACCACACACAAACTGTCTGACCGTACGTGCCGTGACTTTGGACTGGGAATCAAAATCTAGTGCACAAGGTTGATCACGTGTTCCACACGTACACTGATCCTGATTGGGAGGCCCTGTTGCAGGGCTTCTCTAGCGGTTTCAGGAGCCGCTTGGAGCCGTTTTCTACTAAACAGGGTAAAATAAAATGGCTCCACCGATGAAGCCCCTAAAAACATGCTCTCACAGAGCTTTGGGGTGGGAAGGAGCCAAAAATAGTGGCTTCTCTCGGCTTCACCTCATTCTATATGGCGTTCTCTGAGAGCATATTTTAAGAAAAACGATATGTGAAGCTGTTTTGCCAAACGATTTATCAAAACGGCTACAGCTCCACCCATAGATCTGTTCATGGAGCTGAAGCCCTAAAAAAGGCTTTATGGGTGAAGTGGAGCCGTGCCAAACGGGGCCTAAACGTGCAAAGACCCATCAAACGGTTTTTACACACAAGATCACTGGCTTATCTGCGTCGCACGGTTCGTGAAGAAATTCGAGATTGCGAATGGGCCAGCAGGCCAGATTTGAATCCTCATGGGACGAATTTCTGGGCTGTATTAAAAAAAACAAAAAAAGTAGGGAACGCCCTTGACGACGGTTCAAAGAAAAAGAAATCGGAGATTAATTACTGCATTTGCGATTGCGTTGCGAGCATACCGAGATGAGGTTTGTACATGCTATAATAAGAAGAAATAATTAAATACGGTGTTTCATCATTCCGGGATTTGTGTATTCGGCACCCCAATAATTCATCACGCCACGCCACGTAGGTAGCAGTACTTAACCGTCTTGCACTCACTGATTGATGGCGACGGGTGGCATTAAAATATTCACCACTAATAACATGGAGGAGCGGTTACCACTCCTTTAGCACAGCTCATTCAAAACGGTTTCACCGGTGAAGCCAAAGCTGGTAAAGCCAGAAAAACTAGTTTTTTCTGGCTTCTAGTTCATTTTAACCCCGGCTTACAAAACGACTTCACGCTACAGTGCCTCGATTTGCACAAAATAGATGAAGCCGATGCTGGCATAAGCCGTGCCAAAGAGGCCCTTAATTACGTGATCGAGAGAGGATTTTTCTACAAGACGCATCATGGATTGTGCTTCTGGTCTGGATTTCACTGTTACCCTGTTCATTTTCTCTCAGTGAAAACGGTACGGATATTTTTCGACCGTATTCGAGACTGAATTTGTTTAGAGAGATTTAGATCTATCCATATCAAGTTTGGATATTCAACATCCGATACCGTATTCTTATCCGGATACTCAAATCGCATATTTATGATGTCGATGTCCAAACGTATCCTATCCGGCATGATTGTCACTATCCATATTCGGATCCAAATCCGGACATAAATATAAAAACAAATATAATATTAGTGATATCTGTCTGTATCCGATCCGTTTTCATCCCTAGTTACCACGGTAACATGTTATTGTACAAGCGGTACCAGATCTCAGTAGTCTAGAAGATAGTTGATCTGCCTTCTTCTCTAGTAGCCAAGAAAATCATATGATTCATTTGTTGTGACCAGGAGAGAATCCAACTGTTTATTACAGCATAAATAGTATGAAAAACTCAACTCAACACAATTCTACATTATTTGGCCATCCAAAGAAAGAAAGAATTGCATCTCCACCGTCTCGAGCAATCAACAAGCTTGGATGTGCGATGTTTGTTGATTTCACCATGTTATGACTATTGGCGTAGTCAATGTGTTATTCAGAGCAAAACCAACAAAACAAGATTGCTGCATCATTTATTAAAAGTAACTTTGGGGTGTTTGACTGAATGAAGTCAACACCCCCTCCATTTATTTCTTGTTAGCCATATTGGATTGGCATTTGTCGCAAAAAAAAAAACAACGTCGCTTTTCCATAGAGAACTAAATATGTGTATCACAAATCAGAACTAGGGCCAGCATAGTAGGAAATGTATGGTGACAAGGAGTGTCACCAAATAACGTTTTGGGTGTTGTTTGATCCAATAATTCATGCTATGACAATGATTGATAGCGATGCGTAGGACTACATCATGCTAAAAATCCTCATATGCATCCGCAGAGTTCTTTCAAACCTAGATTATGGGCATGTTTACATACATATATAGCTAGTTAATAGTTTGCGCTAAAAATTAGTCTAAATTAGCAATGGTTGGCTATTTAATTAGCTAACAGGTAGTTGAAGATTTGACAAAAAAAGTAACCCATCTATATATTAGCCCTCCTATTTGGATGCACTAGAACTAATTTTGGTTAATTTTTAGTTAGCTAGCAATTAGCACTCATATCAAGACAAGCTCTACCTATCAGTCGCGCTAACAAAAGAAATTCACATGTCATAGACACACTCACACACCCACACATGCAATGGCCAACAAGTCACTCTTTTAGAATTATGTCTAAAGTGAATAGAAAGAGTATAGAAAGGGCGTGAATAAAACTTGATGGCTAGTTCCTGCTGTGCTTCTCCATTTGACTTTTGTTACGAGTTATGACCACCACGGGGAGGCAAAACAAAGAGGTATATGCATCGTAGGCCCTTGAACTTGTCTCGGGGTGCTACTTAGGTCCACAAACTCTTAAATCGTACTTCTGGCACCCTAATGTTGTTTAAGTATGCCACTTAGATCCATAACTCATCGGATCAAGGTTTTGGCCGATGTGGCGTGGTCAGAGCGCACGTGAGCCTGGTTTAGGGCGTGCAAATAAGCAGAGAGGCCCCCCAGTTCTTTTCATATCCTCCATTTCCCCTTCCTTCACCTCTTCCCTTCTCTGTCGGTCTCTCTGCCCGAATTCCAAGCCGCCGCCTTGTCCGCCGCCGCCTTGTCGATCTACTCCATGGCGCCACCAGGGAGCACATCGTGCTCCAATAGGTGTGCGGGCGGCCTTTCCCCTCATCCTGTGCACCGAATGCGGTGGTCGAATGGTGGTGAGGCGCATTTCCACGCAGCCATGGAGTGCAGGGAAGGTATTCTACTGTTGCCCAGAACATAAGGTGAGTTAGGGTTTGATGATTCAAATCTTTGGCACTTGGATTGCTATGTCCTTGTTGCAATTGAGTTGGATTTGGTTATTTTGGCAGAGGGATGGCAGCGGGTGTCCATTTTTCTACTGGGAAGCAGACTATATCAAGCACATCTTAAAGATGTTGAAGGAAGGCGGCAATGGCACATGTGAAGCCCAATTCGATGGAGAATCAAACCTACGTCCCTATGCTGGCCTGATGGACAATGCAGTGGCCAACAAAGCTCAAGGAAATCAAGGAAAGGACCAAGACGTAGCTCGTTTGCTGAATATGATATGTGTTCTCTGTGTGTGTATAGTGTTGACACTTGTGTTAGTTGTGGTTGTTCAGTTGTGCAAATAAACTCAGTCACAATTGTGTAAGAGTACTCATTGTGTAATGTGAACATCAGAAGCAATGGAAACCATCCTTTTTATCTCAATTTTCCATCTATTTCATAGTTCACCTGATAGCAGTAATAGCATCCATGTGCACATACACTATTTTGGTCAGTGATTCATGTGATGATCTAAACAAAAGACTATTGCCACCATCTCAAACATTGTTCTGGGCCATGATAAGCTTTACAAAAGATTGTACAGCACAATCTAAAGCCTTATGCTGGTGCTGAACAAAAGAACAGAAGGACTACACAAAAGCACAAAAGGACTTGTCATCTTCTACTGCATGGGTTCCTGTTGACCTCCCTTCTTCTACTGACCTTTGGACTTGTCACCCTGCTTGGCACTTCTCTTAGATGCCGTTGACCTCCCCAGCTTTGATGCAGTTGTAGGTGGTAGTGGTCTTGTGGTTGGTAGGTTTGTTCCAATGAATGTAGAGGCTGGCATGGGTTCCTGTTGCCTCACCATGCTGCTGGTCTGTGAAGACTAAGAAAACAAGTGTTTGTTAAAGAGGCCTCTTTGTTAAATGTGACAATAGTAGTTGTTAAAGCATAGTGTAGTACCTCTTCTTCTAGCTGTGAAAGCATAGTGTTTGTTCACTGTGACAGTTGTGGTGTGTTGGTTTCTAGAAAATGAATGGCAACCTGCAAGCATAGTCAGTTAGCTGTGCAAGCATAGTGTAAAATTGGTGTAGTGTGAGTAAAATATTTGGTCAGTCCATACTATCTGTGTAATCACTGGTTCTTCATCTAAGTTGTCATCCATTTGCTGTGTAGGGTCCTCTTCTTGTGGTTCTTCCATAGTTTTCCTCATAGGCTGCAGTTTGGGCCTTATTCCTGACTTCCTTAACTGACAGCCTGCTCTGTTGTGGCCTTGATCCCCACAGTAGCTACAAGTCATTTGCATTCCATGCTCTGACATTTTTGTTCCACTAGTTCCTTCTAATTCCACTGGTTCTTTCCTTCTATTCTTAGGAGGTCTGCCCACCTTCTTTTCGTACAGAGGAGGAAGCACAACAGGAAGTCCTTGGACCTTCTCCCAAATGGACTTGTTAGCACATGGATAGA